GAACAACAACAACAACAACAACAACAACAACAACAACAACAACAACAACAACAGCAGCAGCAGCAGCAGCAGCAGCAAAAACAACAACAACGACAGCAACAATAACAGAAATAACATCCCCCCCCCTTCCGACGTATTAAATCATTACGATAATTTAGGGACACTGTAGTTTCCCAGTTCAAAGTGAGAACACCAGATCAGGTGAACATCAACAATGGCAATAAACCACACAGTTGTACAACATACAACCTTTACACATTTTAGATGTTGACTACTACTGATTCTCTTAAGCTGATAAAATTGGCAGTAAACAGAAACCACCTACAGTTCCTTTTGGCAAATGTAATACGAAGTGATTTGGTACTCAATTTAACGCAGATGTGTGGTTGTCCACCCTATCACTGCCAGACCTGAATATACTTTCAGTCCTGGTTCGACCCTCCTTGTAGCTCGGTATTTGATTTCAACTTCGGATTTTTTGACCACTTGAAGAATTTCAGAAGTTTTAGGAATGGCTTTGAGTTTCTCTTTGGGCAGCATGTTTACGAAAGGATCAGTTCTCTTGTCACATAAAAAGTACAATTGGTGAGTTGGTATTTGAATCCTCATTTACAACCGTGCTTGCCGAAATAATATTATAAGTACCAAATTTCACCAACTGCTCACGATATGCCCGTTTCTCAGGACCCTCTGTACCATCTAGTATGCCGTTGCCATGCCCTGCTGCTAAAAATGTCCTGCATACACTCTCAAATCCTAATTTTAAAATTTGCCTTTGTCAGGAGATAGAAAAATTGTTTGGGTTTTTACTGTGTTGAAGGGCCATCATTTAGAAAAATGTATGTGATTAACACGGGGCATGTTGGCCCCAATGTGTTCAATGACAAGAGTAACATATGCACAAATTGCTGAGGGATCGTGGCAAAGGCTATCAGACTCCTCGCAAAAGGAATGAACCCTAGTCTTATCTAATCTGATGTTTGGATGCACGGAACATAAGGCTTTGGACTTCAGGTGCACACTTGTTAACATAATTCTGTACGAAGTCTGTGTGAAACAATTACTTCGTCACTTTTCAGGTTGTCTTTTGTGTCAGTGTAATGTTTAAACTTTTACTGTTTTGTTAAACAGCTTTTCGGTTTACACGTTCCTCATTCCACAAATATACAGTATACAGAATATGTTATCAATTGTGAAAGTGAAATTGTGCAAGAGAGAGAGAAGTTGTACCAACACTGTAATTTCCTTCATAGCCTCAGCAAAGAAGCTCATATTGGAACAGGTTTTAGGTTTGTTTGCCTTTTTAAAGCTTTTGAACATACGACCCAGAATGATTTCCACTTATAAAATGATACAGATTGTATCACTGGTATTGAGTTTTCTGTGAAAAATGTCTACTGTAGATTGTGCAGAGAATCAGCCATGTGTCTTTTTTGTTTCTTCACACCTTTATTTACGACTGTAATTTTCTTCCCTGTACTTATTTCTGATGAATAACTCTTTTGGAAGTTTTCACTACTAATTGGAGTCAACAGTGACCCTTTTGGATAAAGATATTGATTTTCAAAACGGAGAGGTTTGTATTTATTATTTATTGATTTCCAACTCATCATGAGCTTCATTCATTATTAATTACTGGGACGACTTGCAGGCCAGACTGGAACTATAAAAGGCCCGTATCTGGCCTAAGGGCTATAGTTTACCCATGCCTACCTTGAAAACATCCTTTTTCCCGTTAGCGTTAGTCTTTTCCGTTAATAGCGTTACTACTCGATACCTACTTCCCGTAACGGAGTCGGGTGTAATGGAAGCGGAAACATAAGTTTGAAAAATCATGAAGTTCATCCCACAGTCGCTAACCCCATGCCGAGCATAACATTTACTCATGAGAATTCAATAAACACATAAAATAAACAACTTTAGGTTTTGATAACCGCACGATAAAGTATTGGTTTCGAAAAAGTAATTAAGCTCTAACTGTCTCTAGTTGTTTTTTGTTTTTTTTTTTTATTGGGGGGGGGGGGGGGGGGGGGTTACTTCTCCTGAGAGGATGTTTCTGCATACATACCCTCCAAATCTGTTTTGAATGGGTGCATCGAAGAAAGATAACTTACGTTAAAAAAATGAGATCCGTCGGTAACGGAAAGGCATGCGATCTACAGGGGACATCATGCATTACAACGCCCCCTACGGTGAGCTGCACCAAGAAATTGAGCTGAAAAAGATTTCTTCATACATTACGTTGAATATATAAAAATCTCATTAAAAAAAACAAACAACCAAAGGTACAAGTAACATCATTATGGTTAAGTGGGCTTACTGTCTATGTAAAGGTTTTTTTCATTTCTCAGGGACATGCGTTTTTCTATTACTTTGACCATAAGACTGGTTGAAACTTTTCATGCAGTTAATAAAAGGGTATACAATTTATACAATATGTAACAAGCCCGCATTTCGTGTGTATTTAAGGTTCTACGATGATAAAAGCCCGTAGACAAAGATTTCAACAATTTCTTGGAAAGTCCCTGGAATCAGGCGTCAGTTTTTGGGCATGTGAAGTGATTAGTGTCATCTTAGAACTCTTTCAATTGTATTGTCTTTGATGAAAAAGATATCACACTATCTTGGAAAGAGCACCCCCTTCCCCGCTTCCCCGCCCTTAAAAATCAAAATCGAACAATTCAAAACCAAACAAAAACAAAACAAAAATATACCGATAAAAATTGCCCAACAGGCGGAAAAAGTCCATTTCTCTGATTTGATTTTTTTGACGAGCGCCCAATTTCACTACAATGCCACACTACTTTTTGTTTATCTTAATTTCGATGCTGTAAGCCATCCGCCAATTTTCCGAGTCGCATCTTCCTTATTAAAATAATGTAGATTTGCCCCGATATACCGCCAGAGAACTGGCCACCAAGGGTACACACTACACACGGTGAACGTCACCGACTCAGTGGCTGCTTGATTATCTCTTGTCAACACATGTCTCTGCAAACTCGGCTTAATTCTAGTGCTTGTCCTCGACTTGCTTCCGATTTGCGCTGATGATGAAAATTGTATAAGATAAGATAAGATAAGATACATCTTTATTGTCCAGATCCTGGCACATTGGTTTGGTGTTCCACTACGCGTACACACACACACACACACACACACACACACACACACACACACACACACACACACACACACTCACACACACACACAAACACACGCACACACGTGCACACACAAGTAGGCTTACAATCACATGCATAATATAAATGAGCAGCAATATAAACAATAATAATCATAAGTTAGATACACACTCAATGTTGTTTTCATGCATGCTCTAAGGTCGTAAGTATATTATACAAGATGGTTAAGATGGAAGCATTTTGCTTGTTGATGGTAAAAATGACCTTCTGTATCTTTCTTTGTTACAGATCAGAAGCCTAGTTTTTATTTGAGGGAACAAGGGATGTTTGTTGTCTAAAAAGATGGAATTAATTTTCTTAGTGCAAGCTATTATGTACAATTCATCCAAGTAGGGGGATGAAGATGTTGAAATTTTTCATGCTTTCCGTATTAGTCGATTTAATTTTTCTTTATCTTGTTGTCTTGTGTTCCCGGCCCATGCTGTTATACAAAAATTGATCATACTTTCTATGGTTGAATGGTAGAACATGGACATCAATGTTTTATCAACTTTAAAATACTTTAGCTTCCTTAGAAAAAATAGTCTTTTGTTCACTTTTTTATTCAGGAGAGAAGTGTGGACACGCCAGTTGAGTTTGTTGTCTATTGTAACTCCCAAATACTTATAGTCTGACACTTGCTCGATGTTTTCACATTTAATTTTGAGTGGCTGCAGGGGCAGTTTCTTTATTCTAAAATCAACGACAAGTTCTTTTGGGGTTGTTTTTTTCACATTTAAAAACAGCTTATGATTTTCACACCATTCAGAAAAATTAAGTACAAAATTCCGGTAAGCGGTTTC